CTTCTTTTGGGGGATTTGGGGTAAAGGGTTTTCCCCCCAAGGTTTCCAAAAAAAAACAACCCCCCCCCCCCCCCCCCCCCGCGCCCCATTCCTACTACTTTCTTTTGTTGAATGCGTGTGCCCATCCTCTGTGGTAACGGTTGTTGTTGTTCGTGTACATACGGGTTCTCTCTCTTTTGCCAGGATTTTCTCTGTCCTGATGGGAGATAACGTGGGCCCAAGGAAGGAGTTCATCAACGAGCACGCCAACAACCTCAAGCTCGATGACCTTGACTTCTAGAACTACCCTGGGACGCGCTGGAACGGCTGTGGCTGCCACTGTTGGGGCTATGTGTGTATTGATATTGATAGAGGACAGCGGCCTTGTTGGTTTCGTGACAGGGGCGAGAGGGGAGGGGGGGCTCCGCGTAGGTGCTTGGTGGGAAATCAGTGGAGAACTTGCGTTGGTGTTTGAGCCTTTTGGGACGAAGAACACGTGCGTGGGGGCATACCCGTGATTGAACCACCTGTGCTTGAAACATTGCGTAAGAATTGAACTTATGTCTTAGGAGAGATAGGAGAGCGGGGCTCTAAGCGGTGGTGTTGGTGCCGTGCAGTTGCGGGGCATTGCCGTCCCGCAAAATGCCACGAACTTCGGGTCTTAATCAAAGAGGGTATCAGGAGTGGTAACAATTTTACGGCTCCAGTGTGCTGGGCCGGGTACGAGAAGCGTTTGCCGTGGAGACAAAGCGGGTGGAAGTGCTCCCTCGTACGTATCCGGGTTCACGAAACCAATACAAGAAGCACATCGAGGGAACAACAACGATGGAGTGTTGAAAGCCGGAGAGATGGTGACCAACCGATGATCAGTCCGTGTCGCCTTTTCGTGGGCGCGCGCTCTCTCTCTGACTCTCTCGATTGTTCCGGGTTGCTAATTTGCTGCGAAACCGTTGGCGGAACTGTCGAGTGCGTTAATCCCTTGTGCTGGTTGTCACCTGGATTCTCTCGCCATCTGTCTGTCTCTCTTTATTGAAACACGCACACTGAGAGATGTGTGGGCGTTTATCATCCTTCTCACGACTGATGTCGTTCAAGCTAGCAGGTTAACGCGGTGGAGGATAAACACACACACATTCAGTTATCTTCTGTTGCCACCGTTTCTGTTTTTATTCCGGAGATCATGGCCTACGGAAGCATTTTCTGATTTCAGCCGCAGTACGATTGACATCTTTTCACTGGTCAGCCGGTTTCGGGGTCGGTGCTAGTCAATTAATTACGCGCCTGGACAACTCGTCTTTTTCATTGGGCAGCCGTTTTGCGCCGCCGAGCCGCCGATGCTAGTAAGCCCGCACAGTAAGCTAGTTAAAGGAACACGAACGTATTCTGCCTCTCCCCTCCGTCTCTCTCCCTCACACTCTACCCCGTCTCGCTCTCTCTCGCCGCTGGTGCTGCTCCTGCTGCTCTCACTGCTACCCGACGGGCTGATTGATGGGTCCATTTGCCGTCTGCCTTGTGCGACCACCTACAATTGTTTCTCCTTACCCTATCAAGAGACAAAAGAGAAATTGTCTATCATGTTATCTAAATATTCACAGGATGGTCGTCGTGACGTGATACATTTCTTGTTATTAGTATGGAAAAAAAAAAAGAATTGGCTCGATTGTTTTATTTCTACATCAGTATGGACCAGACGCCGACTGTACATATAGACTAGAAGTCGTACGAGTGTCGACTTAGTTGTGCTGACATGGCATCTCCCACGCACTTCTGCCGGTGCTTGTTTGTTGATTGGAGTCTTGTAGGTCGAGATACAGCAGTGGGATTCTCGGGGTGTGGAGGCAAAAGTCTGTCTGCAACCAGAGCAAACAATTGCATGCAAAGCTCGATAACTGCTGTGTTTTTTTCTACAGCAGTATGGACTAGACGCCGAACGACGTCCGCGTACTACGGCAACGACCTGACTGGATGGGATACTTCCTGCCACGGCGAACCATACTACAATGCGATGCAAAGATCCGTTCGTGGGTCGTGCGGCTGCCACATGCGTCGACGACAGGTACACGCAGAGTTCTCGCCATATTGTCGTTACCACGCAGGAGGGCCCCTCGGAGATCTTCTACATGGTGCTACAACGACAGCAGTACTACTGTACATAGATGTCGTAGGAGAGTGGAGTTGTGGTGTCACGGCATCTTCCACGCACTCTCCTACCGGTGCTTGCGTCGATTGGAGTCTTGTAGGCCGAAATACAAGAGTGGGTTGGGT